TAATTATTTTTTAGCAAAAACAGATCGTTGTGTATAGGAGTAGAACAGATGCTTTTTTGAGCGAAAATAGATCGCTGCGTACATGAAAAGAGCAACAGTTCCGTTTACAAAATAATCAAAGAATTGATTTTCTTAATACTATTTGTGAACTAACGGGTCATTATAGGTTTGTAAGCTTGGAGTATGTTGCTCGGCTGAAAACGCTGTTTGTTTACTCTTTTATTTCTTTCCCAGCAGCGGCCGAGCGACAAAGTCGCTGAACACTGGTAGTTCGGTCCGAGGTTCGAATCCCGCGAACGGGCTGGCTGCATGGGTGTTTTCGTGGTTTTCCCCCATATATAACATGTATACGAGCCAGTTCCCCTTAGAAAGTCCTCCCCGAAGGCATCCCTCCCCTTAGGCAGATAGCCCTCGAGGCTTTGCCATAATCACACACACACACTTTTATTTCTTTCTTTAAATTAACCCCAATGCCGAAGTGTGCGTTTTTTTAAAATTATCTTAAACGTTTATCTTTATTTTTTTTAACTTTTTAAACTTATGTACATATGTTGTAGAACACATCTGTACACTAAGCACTATAATACTGATAAGTCCTGCATAGTTTGGATCTTACAAGTAAAGAAGACCTATAACTTTTAATTTTTTGCTTTTATAAATCATAATTTTCGCTTTTGGCACGCATTTCCCTCGGTAAATTTCTACACATTTGAGAATATTTGCCGGATGTATTAGCCCAAAAGAACAGTTTGACTAGAAGGGCATTAATATCGTTTGGGCATTTTGCGTCGTCCATTATAAAACGGCGTTTCATTTTTCAAATTGTTGCCTCCAAACATTAGAGCCCTGCTTTATATTTAAAGAAATTATTAATGAAGAATCTGCATGAATGTATGTATATTTCGCGCATTCCGAAAAAAAAAAATGCGGTACCTAGAGACATAAAATTTTGAATAACATAGTCGTCCACTCGAATATAGTCACCCAGAAGCTAAAGTTCGGAATTTGGAATTTGTTATCTGTTTCATATTTTGTAAAACTTTAATGAATTTTTGATTAACAAACTCATTAATTTCAAAGCCAGCAATGGCAACACTGTGCGGAGAAAAGCATTATCTCCAGCTCGTGAGACTCTGTATCGAAAATTCTAGAGATAGGCTCTTTTTAAATATTTTTAGCCTCAAGGAACTTTAGCCCAAGTGCTCTCGAAACTTGTTTGTCTATGTAAATGATAAAAACGCTCCTTTGTGCGTAATATAAAATTTGAAAGTTTTCAGATTTTGCTTTTAGTGGAATTAAAAAACTGTAAAAGTTTCAGTGTTACCCTTCATTTTTTATGAGTAATTCCCTCATCTTTTTTATGAGTAATTCCCACTGCCTAATAGGGGCGCACAAGCGCCCGAGCGGTAAAATCGCTGAACACTGGTAGATCCGACCTGGGTTCAATTCTTTTCGAACGTCCTAGCTGCATGTTCATTTTCATGGTTTTCCGCATGTGTAATGTGTATACGAGTTACCTTCCCTCAGAAAGCCTTCCACGTAGGTATCCCTCCTCATAGACTGATAGTCTTAGTGTGTTTCGCCATGATCGACTAAACCAACCTCTACATATACTGAATCCGTTGAAGGCCTGACTGAGGCTATCTCTGACTTCACAGATTTATGTGGAGACTTGTGAAGGCTTATGATGTTTCTCTCATATAAAATAATGTAATAGTTTTCTTATTTTAAATCATTTCAACTTACAGAATGCTTCCTAAAAGAACGCTGCATTTTAATAGAGGAACTTTTATTTATAAGTGTTTTGACGTTGATACTGTAAAGTTTTCTTCACCAGTGAAGGTTGAAAACCTTGATTTCGGTGGAATTAAATTCATTTAATAAGAATATAAAACATAGTTATACTTTTCGTAAACACATTCATAGTTTCTTAAAATTATGGATAAAGATATTTAATGCTGTATTTTCATTTGTTAATTTAAAAAATAAAAGGTAAACAAAACAATAAAAAGAAAATAAAAAATAAATTAAAACCGAATGGCTTCAGATTTTAACTTTCGCTCAAAAGAGCTGTTTTAAAGTTCAATATAATTTATCAGCAAAGATTATCAATAGAGATGGACCAAGTCGAATGGCGAAATAGTTCATAGGATAATAGATAAATATGCATTTAGGCTAACATGGGAACGTTATACATCTTCTGTATGTTTAAAAGTAAATTTAAATAAAGACAATCAGTAAACTTAGTTACAAACCGATTTTTGTTTTCATTGTAGTGGAAATTTCGTAGCCATCACTTTGAAAAAAGGATTCGAAGTATTGTTCTTTTAGCGATTTTGCGACAAAATACCGTATTCCTGCAAAAATTTACCTTCGTTTCTTCTACTATAAGAAAATCCAACAAGTTTAAAATCTGAAACCTTCAGATTTTTTTATGTATTTATGATTTCCCTCCCCGCCCCCCTCCGTACACTGTTGCCATTGCTCGCTTTGAAATCGTGGAGTTCGTTAATCAAAATGCTTTGAAATCGTTAATCAAAAACTCAGAAATGCTTTACAAAATATGAATTCGCTAATAAAACAAATTCCAAATTAGGGCTTCCAGATGCCCATATTCGGTGGAGGATTACGTTATTTAAAATGTAATGGCTCTAGATACCGTTGCTTTATCACAATGCGAAAAACATGAATACATTTATGCAGATTCTTCATTATTTAATTTCTTTAGATATAACACATTGCTCTAATATTTGGTGGCAACAATTTTAAAAGTGATTCGCCGTTTGTAGCGAGTCAACACAAAATGCCAGAGCGAAATTATAATAGCCCCTCTGGGTAAATTGCCCCTTTGGGCTAAAAAAGGAGGAAAAGAACATCTGAAAGCTTTCAGGTTTTATATTATGCTCAAAGGGGCGCTTTTCTCATTTACGCATACATAAAAGGTTCGAGAGCATGTGGACTGACGCCCATTTGGAATAAAACTACTCTTTAAGAAGAGCATATCTTTAGAATTTCCGATAAACAGTCTGGCGCGCTGGAGATAAAAATGTTTTATGTATTGTCTTTGCTGGCTTTGAAATCATTGAGTTTCTTAGTCAATTCGTTAAAGTTTAAAATATATAAAATAGGTAACAAAACGAATTCGAAATTCAAGATTCGGGTTTCCAGGTGCCCATTTAGTTGAGGAATACGTTATACAAAATTTGATGTCTGTAGGTATCGCTATTTTTTCGCAGTGCGAGAAACATACATACGTTCATGCAGATTCTTCATTATTTAATTTCTCTAATGCAGAGCGGTAATATTTGATGGCAACAGTTTGAAAAGTGATAGAGCCATTTATAGTGATTCAACGCAAAATGCCGTTTCCAGACTAATAGCCCTTCTGGGTTACCGTCCCTCTGGGCTAAAAATAAACGAAGAAGAAACTTTGTTGAATAATAATTAATAATTCGTAATCGCATTCGATTCTAAACTGAAACTACGTATTTCAGAAAAAAGTGTTACTTATAGAGTTATTAATTTATTTTTGGCGAGCTCTGTGTTGCCATATCATTATTTTTAACTTGCTTAATATTTATGATAAATGAATTAAGGGAAAAAAGGAGGAAATATCTAAATGGGTAATTAAGAATAAAAATTCAGACTTTTCTGCAAAATTTAGTTTTTAATTATTAATTTATTTAAATTTTAAATATTTTATTAAACTTTAAACCGATAATTTATAAATTAATTGAAGTAAAATAGCGACTTAAATTTTTGAAATTCGGCCTTCTGTAACATATTTGTGAGTTAAAATCTATCAAAAATTCGTTGAAGGAAAGAATATTAGAGTTTGTTAAATGATGACAGACGATCGTCATGTAAAGAATCGTGACAGAAATTTCTCAGTTACCAAAGTGACTTCCTTTTTGCAAAAACTACTATTCTTGCTTTCTTAATTCTTCTAAAGTGAATTTTAAATTATTTGAGCTATTAAATCTGAGTATGTAAAAGTTAAATTAGCATTCATTAATTAAGATTTAATTTAAAAATTAAAATGGTATGAAAATGAATGTAAATATTATATGAATTGCATTAGCTTCCAAACTATTCACATCTAGAAGGTGATTAAGTTATACTATTAGATGCTGCAATAAAGTTAACGGAAAATCTTCGTTACGAATAACATACTGTATGCAAGAATGCAAGAATAACATGGAATGGAAGATTTTCCACTATTTCATACTAATTGCAGTTTAATTTTCATGCTCTTCTTTTCGAGTAAGTTTTCCTTCTAAAATAATAGAAGCCTGTATGCTTAGTTCTGTAAGCAATTTTTATGACAATCTTGACTGAATGATTATTTTTATTAATAAACAGCGTTCCGCTTAAAAATAAGTTTAATTTAAAATTAGAACTCTGGTGACTCTTGTCTTCTCACTATCAAAAAAAAAAATGTAATAGCTAAAAGAATAAGCATTCGAAAGGAAAGTAAGAAAATTAATTAATATTTTTTAATTAAAAATTAAATTAAATTATTAAAAAATAGATTTTGGTAAAACAGAATAAAACATTTTGACAAATTTAATAAGCGTACATAAAAGTATTCATTCAATCCATACGATGGCAAAATTGATTGAGAACAAAGAACAACGTTACAGAACCTTTGCGACTCCATTGTCTAATATCACTAGATTCCTTAGCCAATAGCAACCACAGACACCACCAGACGCAATCCATCACAAAAGCAGGAGGGCGGGAACCACGTTATGGGGGGGAGGCACCGAAAACTGCATAATCAGAGAAACCAGCTTAACTCTTTTCTTTGTTCACAATTCTAAACCCCGCCCATGTCTGCCATTGGTCGCGTAATGCGCGCTGCCTGACCAATACTGTGGCAGAGAATTGCATTTGGGCAAGCATGATGGGCGGGTATTGGATGAGCAGATCTGAACGCAACTTAACAGTGACCTAGGCGATCAAAATCGCACAGTGTTAGTCGCTGTGTTCTCCGGAGGTACACATGCTCTCCCAGTGTCTCCTAGTCTGACAATAGAGGGCGCCAGCAACCAGGTTTTGGTCGCCAATTGTCGGAAGAGCAACTCTGCCTGATTTCGGTTTCAAAAGATTTTTTTTTGCTTGCGTACCCTTGTTTCTTCTCCACATGATTTTTGCTCAGGAACTCTATCAGAAAAGATGCAATTAAGACTTACGGTTTTCTTTGCTCAGTGAAAGACTGAATCAACTGAACTCTTCAATCAGTGACTCAACTGAAATGCTCTTTAATTCAATTACAGAACAGACTGTTACTTATTATAATTATTATTAGTTCGAGAGGGTAAGTTTAAATAATATTTTGTCTTTTTTCTTATTTTTATATTTCTAAAAGTAAATGAATCGATTTTTTAAAATTGTACCATAAATTATTTTTAATTTAAAATTCAGTTCTCTGTCTTAAATTTTACTTGCTATTATATGCATATTTTTTTTTCTTTTAATTTCTTTATATATTATTACGATAAGGTTGAAAAATTAAATTTATTATTTCAGCTAAAAGTATTTGTTATTATGATGGAAAAAGTGACATATTATTTGAGATTGCAAATTAATTCATTCTACCTCTGCTAAATGAATCAATAGCACTTAACTAAATAATAAAATTTAACATCAATGTTTACTTAAGTTTCTAATCAAGTTCTAACGCTTTAATAGCAAAGTTTAAATATAATATACATACTGAAATTATTATTTCCACTTCACATAAAAATTCGTATTCTAGTATTTTGTGAGATTACCCTTGAATATTATTTTATATTGTTCTTTTCTTCTAAGATATCTAGATATTTTTTTTCTATTTATGAGTCATGAAAAGTTGCTAAAGGTTTAAAAAATACATTGATAATTTCCTTCAAATTATTTTCATCACTTTACTTTTGACTTCTATTTGAATAATCTGCTTTGACTTTTTTTTTTTTTTTTTTTTTTCCACTCTTTGAATTACTTTTTGAAGTACTGGTTACTGAAATATTTTTATTATTGTTCATTTATACTTACTTTAACTATATAATTTGTTCTTGAAAAGATTTATTAATCCTTTTCTACTTTTCTGTTTATTTCTTTATTTATTATAATTTTGATTTAGTTAAATATTAATTGAATAAACAAAGCTTTTTTTAACCCAAAGGGCGTTAGCCCTGAAGGGCTATTAATTTAGTTTTGGCATTTTGCGTTGGAAACTTTAAAAGTCCGTTTCACTTTTCAAATTGTTGCCACCGAATGTTGTTGCCCTTGTGTTATACTTAAAGAAATTAAATAATGAAGAATCTGCATGTATGTTTCTCGCATTGTGAGTTTTTAATAGAAACTCAACGATTTCAAAGCGTGAAATGTCAATACTGTATGAGGAGAAACATTTTTATCTCCAGCGCGCGAGACTGTATCGGAAATTCTAAAGACATGCGCTTTTTAGAGTTTATTATGTGGATTTGGCAAAACAATTTTTAATGCTTCAGAAATATATTTGAATACCTTTATTATCTCCTATTTCATTATTTTCCTTTGCATTGCAATGCTTTTGAACATCATCAAAAGAGAATGCATTTACTAACTCGGATAAATTATATTTCGATGTTCATCACGCCATAGTTAATGTAAAATTCATTATCATTTCTTTAATGTCACATTATCTACTACAATATGTGCTGCTGAATATAATTCATGAATGCTAAGAGAAAATTTAAAAATAAATGGGCTGTAATGCTTTTTTTTTTTCTAGTATTCATTAGAAAATAAATAATATGACGACTAATGAACTTATTTTGCAATTGCTTTCAATTTATAAAAATAATAATGATAATAATAATATTAATTATTATTATTTGACAATCATCATAATAATTTAATAATCATTGCTTTAAATTTGATAAACATTAAATTAATATTTGAGATTATGTTCCTAGTAGCTATATTTTTTACTGATTATACAATGAAACTGAACTGAAGTGTTTCTATGTAATTAGAGAGATTTTTAATTTGAGAACAATACCTTTGTGTTAATAAAAATGTGATTGCGTATTAATGTATATTATTTAAACTTACTAAGATTAATAAAATAAACTACTGAAGGATAAAATAGCTCTTTAAACTATAGTAAATTTGTTCTATTTTATTATTTTATTTTCAGTGTTTTAAAGTTATGAATAACAAATCTGGCATTAATTAGAATTACTAAGCGATTTTTTAATAATTACGAAAGTTTCTTAAAAGTTAAATTTTAATCATATCATCAATAACAAGTATGCTACTTAGAAGTAAACACTTGGACTGAATTATCAAAATTAATTATTTAAAGTGAGCAAGAAAAGTATTCTCGAGTAAATGTATTTCGTGTGACACAGGTCAGTAAAAATTGTTTAAAGCAGCAAAATCTATATATTTTATAAGCAGATTGTATTATAATTGGCTTTTATTAGCAGAGTTCTTTAAAAATTGTGCCTGCATCGTTAACCACATTTTTACAATTGTATTGTTAATTGCAGTTTCTATAAAAGGAGTGTTGTTTTTGTTATAATAATGATGAAATTTTAACGACATGGGTTTTACAATGAACCTACTGGAAACGATTTATTTGGTAACAATATAGTGCTGTACATTTTAACTAACATTAAGTGCTGTAAGATCTTACAATGCACCAAACGTATGGTTGTAATGAAGTAAGTAAATTAATGAGTACTCATATATCTTTAATGAAATGGTTATATTTTATAGCATATCATTGCATGTGCTACAGTAAATAACCGTTGAAATCATGACAAAAGTTCATTAGAAAGAATCCAGATTAACCAAAGTCCCACTTACCAGAAACGAATATATAAGTAGCTTCGAATTTTTCATATAATTTTTCAAAGCTTTGTTTCGAATACTGTAATGGAAAAACTGCTAAAGTACATCAAAAAGATGACCGCCAAAACAGCCTTTTAAATATTGATCAACGGGAATAAAGTGTACCTACTGGTAATGTGAGCATAGATAACTGTGAAGCACTGGGTTTAAAAAAAAAAAAAAAAAAAAAATTCTGAAAGCTTTCAGATTTTGCATTACGCCCAAAGGGGCCCTTTTTTGTGTGTGTTACCTTTATTTATTAAATATCATGTTCTTCGCACTTAAACCATAAAATTCAATTCAACGACAGTATCGCAAAACAATTTTAAAATGAGCATATCTTTAGAATTTCCGATATACAGTCTCGTGCGCTGGAGATAAAAATGTTTTTTTCTTTCCCCATAGAGTGTTGCCACTGCTCGCTTTAAAATCGTTGAGTTTGTTAATCAAAAATTCGTTAAAGTGTTAAGAAATATGAAATCGATAATAAAATAAATTCCAAATTAGGGCTTCCAGTACCATATTTGTGAAGGGTTACGTTATTCAAAACTTGATGGCTCTAGGTACCGTTGTTTTATCATAATGCGAGAAACATACATATATTTATGCAGATTCTTCATTATTTAGTTTCTTTAAATATAATACAGGCCTCTAATATTTGGAAGCAACAATCTCAAAAGTGAATCAACGTATATAGTGAATCAACGCAAAATGCCAAAACGAAATTAATAAGTCGTTCTGGGCAAACTGCCCTTTTGGACAAAAAAAAAAAAAAAAAAAAAAAAAAAAAAATTGTGTAGAGAAAGAGAAATAAACTGCAACAGAATATTTAAAAATAATTAAAAGAAAGCTAAAAACAATAAAATACTTTATAAAATTTTAAACTATTACTTCTCTCTCTTTGGAGTAGGCTCTGGCAACTATTGTTCCATGTAATATGGACAAGACAAACAACAACTATTATTTCTTACCTTTTTGAGAATAGGACGATTATCTAAGACGATCTCTAAGATGACTCTGTCTACTTTTTATTCCTTGTCTCTTATATTGCGTCACAATTATGGTTGGTGCTATACTTACTGCCGCTCGGGGCAAGGCGTTTCTTAAATTCTGCTCCCAAATGCCTTTCTAAATTCTAAATCATTTGCCGCCCTTAATTACCGCTGCCCGGCTCTGACGTCGTTCCTGGTCACACTTCCATGATATTTAAACTCCCACGTTGCCGAGTAAACCAATTAATTAATTCTCAGAGGCGTTTTAATTGGACATTCTATAAAATTTTTAATTGAGTTTTCAAATTAAAACAATACATTGCTTAATTAAACAATTAATTTAAAAGCAATAATACTTCTAAATAATTTGTTCCCTTAATTCATAATAATGACTGTAATAAATACAATTTCAAAGAAATCAAATTCAAGGAAATTTTAATACGTATAACCGATAATTTTCATTAAAACTTAACAGCATTATTACAGTTAGTATAACATAATCGGATTAACGTAACATAATTATATTTACATAATCGGAAATACCAGCAAAATATATAATATATGTATGATATCTAATCGCTGCATAAAACAGTCCTTTGTAGGCTATAATGAGCTTTTTGCGTTTCTAATTTTTAACGAATTTGCAAATAGAATGAAACTTAATCGAATTTAACTTAACTGAAATGACAAAGTAACACTGAATCGCTGGAGCCTCAAAAGCGATTAATTTTAATTGATTTCTTTTCGTAATCTTAATTTTTAAAGGTAACAATCTAGCTTGTGATGAAAATAACTCAGAATATTGTATACAAAAATTTAGAACTGTACAATCTTTATAATTCAAAAGACGATTTTTGTATTATTGCTCATTATTCAATGATGTGACAGAAATGTACGAGAACGCTCAAAAAATTAGTAAATAATATAGATATAGAAATATATTATAAGAGTTATACGAAATGATCCTGATCCAGTTACTTCACATTAAAAAAAAAAAAAAAAAAAAAAAAAAAAAAAAAAAAAAAAACAATGCTCTAAGTGTAATTGAAATCATTAAAAATGAAATTTTTACAGTTGGAATTAAAGCAATGTTTTTCAACAGTTCTTTGTCCAGTTTTTCGGAGAAACTTTTACAAATAATTTTCAAAAATCTGCTATGCAAAATTTTGACATAACCATTATTTTTATAGTTATTAGCATTTTTCCTTTTCCCTTCCTTTTTCCCTCCCCCCCTAACACTAAGCTCAGAACACAAGTACATTCGTTATGGCTCAGAGCTTCTATTTTCTTCAAGTTTTCTATCTTTCAGGATTGTATCTGCGTAATCTGAGTTCCACTGAGTATGATTGTTATGTTTATTAATTTATGAGTAAGCTAAACTTTTTAATGTTTGTTTTAGTGGCTTTATCCAAAATTAAATAAACATCAGCTGTTTCTGTACCTTTCCATGGGCATTCGCCTTCTT